ATTTTTACCATTTCTCTTTGGAGGCAAACCTATGTGGCAATTTCAGAAGCTGCGTAGGAATATCAAGAGATAAAAGTTTGTGGGGTTTTTTTCAACCATATCTTTTTTTTTCCTAGGAATTTTTCTGGCCTTGCAACCAGTTTATTATCAACTAAGTCATATTTTTAAGTTAAGAGCTAAGACCTCAGTATTAAAACCAAGGTTATAGCTATGTAGCAAACCAGTAACGTCTTTTCAGTTTATCTGTTTCTTCAGTAATAACCCTTGTGTTCTTGTTTGGACAGTCCTGGCATCTTTGATACTTTCTCTTAGAGATGTTCTCTCACGTTGGGAAAGGGGATAGATAAACTCTGGCAAATGGTCTCATGCTACTGGAGATGCTTTTTCTGTCCTTGTTGTTGACGTCGTCATTATCATCATCATCACCCCAGGCCTAGAATCTCCTACTAAGGAGAAAAAGTTTGGCTTTCTCAGCCAGAGGGTAAATAGTAGTAATTCCTTGGAGACAAGGAAAGACATATATTACCGAATGATCTTTAGCAGTAATCTTATTCTGACCTTGGGAGCAATCATGATTAGAATATAGGTCACAGTCTTGAATGTACTTTAAATCAGGTGGTGCAATTATGATAGTAATGATAATGAGGGGGTAGTATTTGACCCACTAGTATTTGATTATTACTATTATTATTATTAAAGATTTTATTTATTTATTTGGCAGAGCGAGAGAGCACAAGCAGGGGGAGCAGTAGAAGGAGAGGGAGAAGCAGGCTTCCCGCTGAGCAGGGAGCCCGATGCGGGGCTCGATCCCAGGACTTTGGGATCATGACCTGAGCCGAAGGCAGACACTTAACGACTAAGCCACCCAGGTGCCCCAGTATTTGATTATTATTGCAAATCTAGTAATCCAATGGAGATTTCAATGTCATTTTTTTTTAAGATTATTTATTTATTTATAGGGGCGCCTGGGTGGCTCAGTCGTTAAGCGTCTGCCTTCGGCTGGGGTCATGTTCCCAGGGTCCTGGGATCGAGCCCCGCATTGGACTCCCTGCTCCATGGGAAGCCTGCTTCTCCCTCTCCCACTCCCCCTGCTTGTGTTCCCTCTCTGGCTATGTCTCTCTGTCAAAAAAATAAGTAAAATCTTAAAAAAAAGAAAAGAAAGATTATTTGAGACAGACAGAGAAAGAAAGAGAGCGAGCATGAGTGGTGGGGGGGAGCAGAGGCTGAGGGAGAAGCAGACTCCCGCTGAGCCTGGGGTGGGTGGGGGGTTGCTCCATCCTAGGACCCTGAGATCATGACCCAAGCCAAAGGCAGACACTTAACAGACTGAGCCACCCAGGCGCCCCTTCAATGTCATTCTTAAAATGAGTACTGCCAAAAAAAAAAAAAAAAAAATGAGTACTGCCATTTCTAGAGCTGAATGTATGACTTTTTGGCTTATTTGCCTTATTTTTGTCTTGTCTGAAAGTTGCTTAAAAATACACACATGCCCCCTGCACCATCCTGCCCTTATTGACTATATCACGTGACTGTCACCATCATCACATGGCTGATTGTTATCACTACCATCACATGGATTGTTCTATATGGGAAATCCTAGTATAAGTGCTGGCAAAGAGAATGGGGACAGGGTTGGGAACTATAACGGGTGTGTGAGAGCTGTAGTAGGTCATGAGTCTTTGGGCCCTCTCAGAATGTGATCTTGGGTCTCTTCTTTGCTGCAGTATAGAGCCAAGGGATAAACTGTGTTTGTGCATGTGGGTGCACATTTTTATTGTGTGTAGTGATAAAGTTAGGAAAATTCCTGCTTCAACATATTTTAGCCCAAGCAAAGATTTTATTTTAAAGTTTGCTCAAGGTCAGGGCCTTAAAATAGAAGAAGCACATTTCACATTAATTAAGATTCTTTGGGGGGGGGAAGATTTCCTCTCTTTGATATTCATGTTTCTCTTTTTCTTCTGTTAGTACTGCTTGCCCTCCACACCACCACCAAAAAGCATTTGAGAGGGAAGCAATTCCAAATAGATTAATATTATAAAGTGCTTTGAGCCTAGGGAGAACTGGAATATGAGTATGGTATATTATAGGTAACTATGCAAATTTAGGGTATTATGAACCCGATATAAACGTAAACACTAAAAGCCTGATTAGAACATAAGGATTTAGGGGCCCTGGGTGGCTCAGTCGGTTAAACGTCTGCCTTTGGCTCAGGTCATGATCTCAGGGTCCTGGGATCGAGCCCCATAGGCTCCCTGCTCAGTGGAAGCCTGCTTCTCCCTCTCCCACTCCGCCTGCTTGTGTTCCCTCTCTCGCTGTCAAATAAATAGGTAAAATCTTAAAAAAAAAAAAAAGAACATAAGGATTTAAAATATCCATGAGGAATGGATCCATGTTCCAGCCAACTTGGTATTTGCCTCTAACAGAAGTACCTTAAAAATGTAGCAGAGTCTGCTTGCCTGTCCTGCTAGCAGTAGTAAAAGATAAGGGATACTTGTTCCAAATCTTGGGTTTCCTTGACCATAATGTATCTATTGTTCATTCACTTAAACTTTTTAAAAATTTGTAAGCAACTTAGGACTAAATCCCTATTAGTATGGTAACAAATTTCAGTTTTTACTGGTAATTAGTATTTTTACATGGTCATTAGTATTTCATTTTATTTGTCTACGTTTACAGTAATGTTCAAGCTCCTACAGGGATTATGCAGTTCTCATATTCTACAGTGTTTTGAATCATCTACGTTAAACTTATTTATACTTTCATGATTTGATAAAGTTTTATTATTTTGGCTTCATCATTTTTAAATAGAACTTAGATTTTATTAGCCCTGTCTCATTACATAGGTTATTTAAGAGGCATACACTCTGTTCTCCAGTAGCAGTATGATAAAAACATTCTACTATACAAAGTACCTTTTTTTAAAACCTTTAACAAGCTTATTTTGGCCTCTCATTATTCATGAAAGATAGGTAAAAACAGTTGTATATGTTCTTATTCTATGGCAGAGAGGAATTCCTTTAGTTAGTTTTGTTTTTACTCTCTATTGAGTTAATTGCTGTTAAAGTTTGGACTCATTCTTCCCAAGGAGCTAGAATCTTCCTCACTTTCCAGTATCTAAATGTATAATCTTCTGACCTTCTATTCTTCCTGTCTCTCTGCAGCCCTATGTGTCATTGTCTCAGCAGATGGCACCACCTAGTCCAAGCAACAGTACCCCGAACAGCAGCAGTGGGAGCAATGGAAATGACCAGTTGAGCAAAACCAACCTCTATATCCGGGGATTGCAACCAGGCACTACTGACCAGGACCTTGTCAAATTGTGCCAGTCGTAAGTTGGGGAACATGTGGGTAGGCTTTGAGGGCCAGTACGGATTTGGTGATACTGGCTTCTTGCCAGATACTTGTGTCCTGAAATGCAGTCCTGTTTGTCACAAGATTTCTTAGCAACCCCTCTTAAAGAAATTCTACCTGCTACTAATATATAAAACCTTTATATGTTTCTCTGAGGAAAGTCAGGATGGGGCTGGCCTTTGAAGCCTAATATGTGACTGTTTCCAGTGTGCTCCCAGAACTTATGGTCTTTGTGGAAAGACTCCTGTCCTTACACCTCAAACAGCAGTGCTCAATGCCCTGGGACGCTTGAGTGGCTTAGTCACTTGAGCGTCTGCCTTCAGCTCAGGTCATGACCCCAGGGTCCTGGGATCGAGCCCTGCATCGGGCTCCCTGCTCAGTGGGGAGCCTGCTCCTCCCTCTGCCTGCCGTTCCCCTTGCTTGTGCTCTCTCTCTCTCTCTGACAAATAAATAAATAAAATCTAAAAAAAAAGAAAGAAATGCTCAATGTCCCTAAGGATACTGATTAGAAGGCAGTGAGAGCCGGCAGTAGGGATAGAAGAAAGTGGAACTAGCTAATCGAATTGTACACTGAGGAGAGTTTTTGCTGATACAGATAATCCCAGTGACCCGGAGGAGCTCTCAAATTAGTGGATGAAGGCGAAGGTGGAGAAAGAGGCTGTCACTCTGCATCTACCCCCTACAGACCTTTCGGGGTTCTTCACAGTAGATTTGAGTCATGAGGTTGACATAACTACCACGGAATTAGCCCCTTTGGGAATGCTGGAAAAATTGCAAGAGTCCAAAGATGCCAGCTCAGTTCTGTTTGGCAGAAAAATATGGGCTTCAAATGATATATTTGGGGGAATGGTTAGAGGAAGAAGTCTGGGGGTGGGGAGGGGGAAAATTGTTTGGGTAAGTGAATGGTAGAAAGAAATAGAAATAGGAACCTAGACTGTGTAATTACCATCTTTTAAAACTTTTTATTGATATATAACAAACATATAGAAAAGCGCACAAATCGTAAATATATACACAGCAGTGACTTCACAAAGTGAACATAGCCGCGTAACAGTCCCATGTGACCAGGTCAAGAAATAGAACATTACCAGCTCTTCTGAAGCCCACCTCTCTATTTCTATCCCTCCTGCCCCCAACCAGTCTACCGTTTGGATTCTAAATGGTTGGTGTGGTTTGTTTGAACTTCGTGTAAAGACAATGCTAGAGCATACATGCCCTTCTGTGTCTGGCTTCTTTTGCTCTTTTTGTTTCTTTGTTTGTTATTTGTAAGATTCCTCTATATTGTTGCGTGTAGCAAAACTTTGTTTATTCTTACTGCTTTATAGAATTCCTTCATAGGAATATACCATAGTTTATTTACCCATTCTACTGTTGCTGGACATTTGAATTGTTTCCAGTTTGTGACTATTATGAATATGAATAGTGCTGCCATGAACTTGTTCATGGCTTCTGGTGCATATGTGTACACATTTATGTTGGGTATATACCTAGGAGTAAAATTGCGGAGTCACGGGATGTACATATGTTCAGCTTTTGTAGATACTACTAAGTGATTTTCTGAAGTGGTTAAACTAATCCAGACTCCCACAACAGTATATGTAAATTCCAGCTGTCCCAAATCCTGGAAAGGCAGAACATTCTGCCCCCAAAATGTAGTTGTAGAAGTCATCAGAGATATTTTGTAAGTCCCTTATTCTTCTGAGGTTTGGTACATTTTTGCTAGCACTGGGCTGCGTAAACTCAGTTTCTAAAGGCTAGGCATACGTGTAAAACTCACCTTGCTAGAAAAGTATTTAAATGGAAGTGAGGGGACTTGGTCTAGGACTAGTAATTTTTGAGGGGAATGGGAATTGGCAGAAATGTTGATTTATGAGGGAAAAGACTATCATATCAGGCTAGTTCTTTGATTTCTGTACCCTGTGTTTCTTGTCCTAAATATAATGTGCTACAAAAATCCTCTCACTCCACAAGACAGACAAAAACTCAGTTCTACTTCACTATACTTTTATTTATTTATTTTTTAAGATTTTATTTATTTATTTGACAGAGAGAGACACAGCGAGAGAAGGAACACAAGCAGGGG